CCTGATCTTGTTGTGGAAGTCACGGCAAAGCAGAAGAGGAAAGGCCAGTTTTAAATGCTTTTCCTTTTCTGAAAGGGCAGCTAAGGTGCTCAGATATCTCTGCCCTCAGGGGTACAGGTGTGCAGTTTTTCTTCTTTAATCATTCACATAAATTAAAGCCTATTCCTTTGCATTTAAAAAATAATATAAAAGACACCTTCCATGTTTTATTGCTATGAAGGAGCTTTGAACTTCTTTCTCATTGAAGTTTGATAAACTGCAAGGATTTTCCAAGGCTGGGTGGTGCACTTAACCACAGAGAGAACATTGGACTGATAAGAGCTGCAGGTGAAGGAAACCACCAGGGAGCAGCAATTAGAGTGCCTCTCACTTGGCTGGTGTGAGATTCTCCACTGGCAGGAATGTTTCCCTACCTCTGTGAAAGGTCCTTCTCTTCTTCCACAGATAAAAAGAGCACCAACGCTTTCTGTTTCCACTTTGTGTGCTCGGAGTGGGTGGGTGAACTTTGAAATTTGGGGACAAGTTCTTACTTCACACAAATGCTGATTGGCATGCACAGCTATGCAGGTGGGGACAGGACACGCACGTAGTTTAAATTCACATATACACAAATGAGTCACATCTCTCAAGTGATTTTACTATCAACATAGTAAACCTTGTGCCCTGTGTAAAATAAAGATAATGTTTACTTCCATAACTGATCATTAAATATTAATGATGAAGCAGTGTGATATAGTGTTAACAGCATGGGTTCTTGGTATTAGACAATCATTTGTTCAAATTCTGGCTTCTCATCTTGATCTTGAGCAAGTTACTTAAATTCTGTAAGTCTCAGTTTTCCCATTTGTAAAATGGAAATGAAAAACAAACAACCTATCTCGTACAATTGTGAGGATTAAATAAAATAATGCATGTAAACAATTAGCACAGTATCTGGCACGTTGTTCAGTAAGTTGCACAAGTGCTCTAAAAGGAAGCTATTAACTACACTGTTCATGATAGCAAGAAGATGGAGACAACCTAGGTGCCCATCAACAGATGAATGGATATATAAATTATGGTATATTCACACAATGGAATACGACACAACAGTAAAGAACGATGAATCCGTGAAACGTAACATGGAGGAATCTGGAAGGCATTATGCTGAGTGAAAATTCAGTCATTCGCAAAAGGACAAATATTGTATAAGACCGGTATTATAAGAACTCAAGAAAAGGTTTAAACACAGAAGAAAACATTCTTTGATGGTTATGAGGGTGGGGAGGGAGAAGAGGGGTATTTACTAACTAGATAGTAGACCAGAATTATCTTAGGTGAAGGGAGGGACAACACACACTACAGGGGAAGTCAGCACAACTGGACTAAACCAAAAGCTAAGACATTTCCTGAACACAGCCAAACACTTTGAGGGACAGAATAGAAGGGGCAAGGGTCTGGGGACCATGGTTTCAGGGGACATCTAGGTCAATTGGCATAACAAAGTTTATTAAGAAAATGTTCTAAATATAAAGAACATAAAAATCGTCTTTAACCCCACTACCGCCCAGAGAACACACGATGACTAAACATTTTAGTCTATTTCCCTTCTGTTATTTTCTATGTATGTTCATTTATGTATTCTGTAGGGTTTTTTTTTTCTTTTGCAAAATAAGGATCATGCTGTACGCACAGTTCTATAACCTGCTTTTGTTTTCTTAACATTATATTGAAAGTCTTTACCTATGTTATTAAAATTTCTTTAAAAACATGAAAAAAAGAAAATGTTCTGTATCCCACTTTGGTGAGTGGCACCTGGGGTCTTAAAAGCAAGCAGCCATCTAAGATGCATCAATTGGTCCCAACCCACCTGGAGCAAAGGAGAATGAAGAACACCAAACACACAAGGAAAATACTAGCCCAAGAGACAGAAAGGGCCACATAAAAGACTGCATCAGCCTGAGGCCGGAAGAACTAGATAGTGCCGCGCTACCACCAATGACCGGCCTGACAGGGAACACAACAGAGAGTCCCTGATGGAGCAGGAGAACAGTGGGATGCAGAACTCAAATTATAGTAAAAAGACCAAACAATGGTTTGATTGAGACTGGAGGGACTCCGGAAGACATGGCCCCCAGACTCTCTGTTAGCCTAAAACTAAAACCATTCTCGAAGCCAACTCTTCAGACAAAGGTTAGACTGGACTATGGGACATAAAATGATACTCATGAAGAATGTGCTTGTTAGCTCAAGTAGATACATGAGACTAAATGGGCAGCTTCTGTCCGGAGGTGAGATGAGAAGGCATAGAGGGTCAGGAGCTGGTTGAATTGACGGGAATTCCGAGGTGGAAAGGAGGAGTGTGCTGTCACAGTATAGGGAGAGCAACTAGGGTCACATAACAATGTGTGTATAAATTTTTGTATGAGAACTAACTTGAATTGTGAACTTTTACTTAAAGCACAATTTAAAAAAAAGCAGTTATTAATATGGTTATATGTAATATTAAACTCTAAACATCTGGTTGGTGGGGGAATGTTATTATTATTTGGTGCAAAGTCTGTTTTCCAGAAAATTCCTCCTCTGTTTTTAGGAGGACAAAAGCGCTTTGATTTTAACTCCTCTGAAAACATTTCTGTCGTAAATGGCTTTCACATTGACTTTTAGTCCCTGGAGCTAGGGAGGAGAAGCAACAGGATTTGCTTCTAAGTGGAACTCTTTTCATTTCTACCATCAAAAGGGAAAACAATCCTGTACTAGCCTTTGGTTGATGTAAGTTATATAAGTCCATATAGTCCAAGGAAGGAATCTTTTAGTAAGATCAGGATAAGTGGGTAGAAGAAACCCATTGCTGTCGAGTCGATTCTGACTCAGGTGACCCTATATGACAGAGTAGAAGCAGACTGCCACAGCTTTTCTCCTGTGGAGCGGCTGGTGGGTTTGAACCGCCAACCTTTGGTTAGCAACTTTTGGTTTGGTTAATCACTTGTGCCACCAGGGCACTTTGTGTAGAAAAAGGAAAGGAGAATACAGAGCTGAAAAGATGGCTGATCTTAATGTTAGTCTGGTTGTTTTTTCTTTCCAGTGTAATATGTACTTAATTATGATTGGTATTTTGAAAACAGTGCCAGAAATTGGCATGTATTATCTTACAATTCATGGTCAGTTTTGGCCATTACTTAGAGAAATAGTTTCCGAGTTGGATGAACTGTTGATGAAGCACTGATTTTATTTTCACATCTTTTTGGGTGGTTGGGGAATGTTTGCAGTAGTTGATGTTAGCTTTGGGACCCACTCATATAGATAGAACAGATGCAGTCATATATATATAGAAGAAATCACGGAATGTAAGCATCTCATTCATTGGACTTTAGGCTGGAAAATGTGGTGAAACCTTAGATGACTATTGTCAAATGAAGACTCGAGTACAGCTTACATTAAATGTATTTGCTTTACAAACTTCAATAGACTACCAGGACTTCAGGAATAGTTTTTTGAAGCACCCATTTTCATTAATTTTAGGTAACTCCCTCATATTTTCCTGAGGGATGAAACTATGACCAAGAGGCAAATGACAACCTTGGCAGCAACTTCATGGAATTGCTTTTTGGCAGCACATTCATCACTTTTGGTTTTCTTGTTCTCACTGCTCCAGAAGAAAGTATTTTTCTGATTTATTTTGGATGGTAAATGGAAACGCTGAGTTGGAAGCTTTTATGTGAAGTGTGCCAGGATGTCATTGTCATACCTAAAGACAAAACTCAGGGAAGGGGTACAAGCATTTGTTGAGCACCTACTGTATAAGAAGCTCTGCCCTATGTTCTTTACTGAAGTTATGTCAGTTAATACCACTAACAACCCTTTGAGATAGGCTTTTAAGAAAATACGTTATCAGGTGTGTACAATGTGCCAGGCACTGTGGTGTTCTATATGCCTCATCTAATTTAATTCTCACAACCCTGTTATGGAGGTGCTATTATTATCCCCATTTTACAATGAGGGAGTAGGTTTGGAGAGTAATTTGCTCAAGATCACACAGCTAGAAAGTGGTGGGGCTGAGACTGGAATTCAGGTCTCTCTGAATTCTGAAACCCGAGTTCTTAACCCGTAGTTCTTAAACCACGGGATGCATAAGAAGCACCAAGGGTGCTTGTTAAAAATGACTGGCCTCTAGTTAGAAATTTGAGGTCGCTCAGTCTGGGATGGGCCTATAAATCTGCATTTTAACAGAGCACCCCAGATGATTTTGATCAAGGAGTTAGTTTACCATACTTTAAGAAACAGAATTGAATTATATTGCCTTCCACACGCAAGAAAAAAGAAAACAGGTGCAGATTGTTAAGTAACTGCCCAAGACTTAGCTACCAAAAACAGAGCCACAATTCAAACCCAGGTCTGTCTAATTGTAATGCAAGCCCATGATTAATTCATGCATTTCCCAGACACAACAAATACAGAAAACGTGATTTCTAATAAATTAAGTCACGAAGGTTTCATAGTCTTATTATTTACCTTATTTGCATAAGGTTAATAACTTATGTATATACAGTACTGAAATTTTCAAGGTTCTTGAACTTTCTGAGTGATTTTTTCTAAGAACAGAGTTTTCTTTCCGACCAAACCACACTTCAGGCATGGAATCACTGACTCCCTGAGATACATTTCTGAGACATGCAGAAGAGTAGAAGAAGGTGGAAGTAGATGAGAAAACTTCCAGGTTGTATCTGCTAAATGGTACTAACGCTTCTTTTTAACCTTAAGTCTCATCACCTAAACAAGAATGAAGGGTAGATGCATATACTAACAGCCAGTCAGATGAAAGGAGATTGTGTTCTGCATCATCTCCCATTCTGCCCTTTGAGACCATAACTCAGGGCCAGCAGATTTGGTGTGCCTACGCTATACTTCCTAGTGAGGAGCCAACACCTTGATTAACTTACATGGCTTCCTACTGAGATTGGGATACCTTTTGTGTTTTTATCTCTCTCACTTTCTCTTTCCCTCTTGCTTTTTGTTTGCAGCTCAGCAACATGTCCTTACGTACATGGAGGATGCTGTGTGCCAGCTGCTAGAGAACAAGGAGGATATTAGCCAATATGGCATTGCCAGGTTCTTCACTGAATAGTAAGTACATGAATGCTTTGCCCATAGGGTGAGCCCAGATGAGGCCCTTGGAAGCAGGCAGGGTACGTGAAGAATAGAGCAGGACAGTGCTGATTATGTAGTGGCAGTGAATGCTTAGTTTTTGTATGTTGGCTGAGGGCTGCCCAAATATGTTTTAGAGCATGCCTGTGGTGCAGCTAGTTCTGTCCAGTGATATGTCTCATGAATGATTATGACTACAGTAGCTCAACAACTGCTTATTTTATCTATTAGATCTATTTCTTTAGATACCTCTTATAATTTTCAGCTTTCTCCTTTTATTCAGAATATTCACACTGATTTCCTTTAGTGGGTGTTCCTTTTAGCCTGTGTTTTCATGGCTTCTCTCGTGGAAATGTTTAGGGTGGTGGTCCTCTGCAATTTTCTGACTACAGGTTGTTGTCTCAGTAACTTAATAACTTAAGAGTATTTCTAGAGGCAGAACATCTTTCATAGATATATCTTTGAAGGTTCATGCTTCTTTGTAAAGTAGATTCAGAGTGTGTAAAAGTCAAAATGATTACTACTTTATCATTTTTGAATGTCACACAACTGTGTTTAGGCTGAATGTGATAACCACTTTAGAACACCTTGATCTTCATGAAAGGATGTGCTAAAGAAATACAAAACATTATTTTTACTACCAGTATTCCATCACTGTATAATCATTTGAGTTCTCTTTTCTTTTTTGCTGATTTATTAAGAATATTATAAGAAAAGAAGAGTAACTCTTACAGGATTCCATTTAAAATGAAGCACAAGCTCAAATCTATCCTCATTGAAAATAGACTTTTTCCTTTATATTCCTCAGAGGCTCCTTGGAGATCAGATGACTGTTCTAATGGCCTAAACTTGGGTTGCTGTTAGGGGAATTCTTGACTCTCCTTAGCTCTTTTTTCTGATCTGTAAGTCTTGTAAATAAAATCTGGATTTCTTCATGGGTGGAAAGGAGGAGTGTGCTGTCACAGTATAGGGAGAGCAATTAGGGTCACATAACAATGTATATATAAATTTTTGTATGAGAGACTAGCTTGAATTATAAACTTTCACTTAAAGTACAACAATAAAAAAAAAATCTGGATTTCTTATAGATTGGAATTTCAAGTTCCTGGGAAAAACAGGATTTCTGGGAGCACAGCTGGTCCTCTTTTCCCAGTTTTCTGAAGGAGGATGAAGTAGAGAAAGGAATCTTACTTGTTTTCATGGTGTGGGCTGAAGCAAATGCGGTGGGGGAATAGAGACTGAGATTTAATAGCCTTGCTTGCTTTTACATAACTGACAAGCCTAGGGGTTAAATTTCTAGGCCATATAATCTGTGCCAGCACTCTTGTGGCTGCTTGCCAAGTGAAATATGACTTTTCTTCTTTTTGCCTTTTTTTCATTTTAAACCCCTCCCCCCCAATCTCCTTTATAAGTCTCTTCCCTATTACACTGGTCCTTTAGGGTAGACATCATTTCTTCTTCATCTTTGTATTCCCAGCGCCTGGCACAATAATTAGCGTATAATAGGTATTCGGTGAATATTTGTTGACTCTACAACTGTATCTGTATTTTAAGTTATTGTGTACTATTTATTCTTATTTTTGATCTTGTTTATAATGACTTTCTCTGGTTTTTGATTCTTTTTTTTTTAATGCAGATTCTCTATTAGTAGCACAGTTTTGATTGAGAAGAAGGTTAATAGTTAAACAATTTTCGTTTGATCTGTAAGCTGTTTTTTCAAGAGATTTACATTTTATTCTAATGTGGTTCTGATATTCTGTAACAACACACTATCCTAGGAGCTTAGGGCTTATAGTTGCTTAGCAAATAGTTTTTATCTTGCATGGCATCTATAATTTATGGTAATGGCTGCTTAGAGTTCTGTACTGTAGAAGAAGCCTGTGCCCTTATCCAGGAAGGCTCAGTGGACAAAGAGACCTGTGATTGATTAGTAATGTCAGCCACAGGGGCAGGAAGGAACATTGGTGACAGGATCATCTGGGACTTTTCTAAAATAAACCTAAAGTAAGTCATTATTGTTTTATGCTCTGAATCATATTTGAGTAAAATCAAAACGTAAAAGAATTGGAGCCATTAGCCTCTAAAACGTTCTTTTAAGCAATGTCAGACTAAAAGTATTAAACAGCAGTATTTTCTATAATTAAATCATTCAGTAATTTTTCACTCACACTGGTTATAAGCATTATGTTGTTGTTGTTAGTTGGTTCCAGCTCGTAGCGATCCTGTGCACAACAGAACGAAACACTGCCCAGTCCTGCATCATCCTCACAATCATTGCTATGTCTGAGCCCATTGTATGTTTTTGATTCTTTTTGATAAAGCCGTTTAACAAGCTGTGTACCATATGGGTAGCAAAAGTGAACCCCACTGGTCTTATGTAACTGATCCTCAACTCTAAAAAGCCAATAGTCTTATAACAGCTTCAAAATGCTATTGACTGTAGCTTTTATCAATCAGTACACTGTCGAAAAAATCTTAACATTTTCCACAGTGCTGATAGAATTCTAGTTGCCAAGTGAGCTGTTTCTTGTCCCCAGGAAACTAAAAATTACATTAACGTGTGTGAGTGGAATATACCTGACAGTTATGCCTGGAGCAAGTCATTTTGAGAAGCTCCCAAAACTTTGTTTTTAAAAAAAGCCTTGAGAGTTGTGGATGTATGATGGAATAGGAAGTAGTATTTGGTAGACAAGATCTGCATGGTAGAAGCTTCTCATTTTACTTTGATTGATTCTGAATTTGATTTATCTAGTGAAAACTCTTCTCTTTCAGGGCTCAGTTTTGTATTGATTCAAAAGACAAGCATAATGAAATGAAAGGAGCACTACCCTAGGAGGAAGAAGAACTTCTTATAAGTCCTAGCTCTAGAACCTTGGGCAAATTTCTAAATTGTCCGGGCCTTAGTTGCCTCATCTTTGAAATGCGTATGATAAAGGCTTACATGCTAATAATAACAACAACAACAATAGTAATACAATTGTAACAGGCCACTAGAACAGTTCTTTGAGGTAGGTACTACTATTATCTCTGTTTTATAGACGAGGAAACTGAGGCTCGGAAAGGTGAAATAGCTTCTTCAAATTCCCAAGTGACAGAATCAAGAATGAAGTCTGGTTTGCAATATTATAAAGTCACTATTTACCATTCCAAGTCACTATACTGCATAAGGTTGCTGGAAGCCTAACCAGATATTTTGAGATCTCCTCTAGCTATAATTTCTACAATTCTTTGAATTCTACCTTACAAACTACATTCTACAAAGCATATCACATAGCCTTGTCTGGTGAGCTCAGTTCATTGCCATTTAAGTGTTTAGTATTGACCTTTTGAGGGATGTAAGTGGAGCTGACTCTAAACAACAAGAAGCGTGATATTTTTCAAACATGTAAGCTATACACTGTAAATTCTCAGTTTCAAGTTCACACTTTGAGATTTTCATACATCTAATGATGGACAATTTACCTTTAAATGATGATAAAAGTATTCTTTGAAATTATCTTTTGAAGGCTTTTCTGCTGATTTTCTTCATGGGTCTGCTTGCCCTCTCACCTGTGCTGTCAGCTTTGGTTTTTGGTGTTTTCCAACAAGTCAGTGATTGTCCCAGCAAATGTGGATAAGCTGTAAAACATGAGTAACTGAGCTGTACTGTGTATATGTCTGTTAAGACTGTGAGCTCTTTAGATCATATTCCTCTGGACACTCTTGAAAGGTTACTAAATCCCAGAGGATTTTCTTTTATGTTGTATGCAACGTCTACCTCTGGATGTTGTCCTTTAACCAGAGGAAGGTAAAAGGAATTAATATTTAGAGGTGCTGCTGTATAATAGACTGAGCGTCAGCACCTGGTCAGTACCTCTGAAGAAGTACGTCCAAGAAAATGAGGCTAGTGTAGCTGTAGCTTAGAAACCACACGAGAGTGTGACCAGGTTCTTATGGTAAGGATAAAATGAGAAATGTGGCTTTTTAAGACACTGGAAAATAATGATGAGAGAAACACAGGCTGACACCTGAGAATTCCTATCAGAATTGGAAGCCATTCCTCACAGGCTAAATTGATAGTTTCGGCACTGTGGCATCAGGGAGCTTGACCTTCACATACTAATATAGAAAAGAATGATACTCTGTGGCCTTGGTTGGTGGGCCTGGACAGCTCTTTCTTATGATAAATTGTCTTGTTTTTGTTTTTTTAAATGATGATTTTAGCTTCTTGGTGAAATTTTCATGATGACCATTTTGGTTGTAAGGAAAAGAAGTACACAGATTACTTTCATGGATGGAGATTTATTTTAAGGATACATGAGAACACATCATGTATACTAGGCAAGGTGTACTAGGCAATGGGGATATAATAGTAAACCAGACAAATAAGGACCTTGCCCTCATGGACCTAGTGTTTTAGTGAGAGAGAGAGTCCATGAACAAGTGAACTGATGATGATGATCATAGTAGCTAATAGTTAATATATACTTACTATGTGCTATGTCATGTTCTAAAGATATAAAATTTAATCCTCACAATGCTTTGAGTTAAGTATTAGTATTATCCTCATTTTACACATTAGGAAATTTGGGCACACAAAAGTAACATTCCCAAAGTTACATAGCTGGTAACTTTAACAAGAAAAATAGCAAAAAAATAACTGGGGTAATGTGATATATGGGATGGCCAGGGAAGGCTTCTTGGAGGAGATGGTATTTGAGATGATATTAGCCCTGGAAATCATCCCAGCGAGAGAGCTAATACGTTATCTTGGCTCATGTGACCCACGTTCTCTTTGTTCACATTGATTTTCTAGGCTTTCTGTGTTTGAAAAAGATAATTTGATTCCATTTGCTACTACTCAGTATTGAGTACCTTTAATAGGCAGTGTTCCTCCCTCATGCCTTGCTCGTGTATAATAATTGAAAGTAATAAAATAATTAGCAATAAAAAGTATTTGTATTATCTAATATATAATACAAATGTGGAGATGGAAATCT